TCACAAATCTTTGTGGCATGATGATGAACAAGTTAATCTTCTTTTCCATTGGATATCAATTGGTGATGATCTTCGTTGTGAACTTCATTTCTGTGCCTCTGGTTAATTCCACATTCTCACTATAGACCTTTGCACCAATTGTCCCAATTAGCAGAGCTCCATTGCCTTAAGCTGGTGACTGATGCCCTCTTCAGGAAAGGACAGCCAACAAACTCATTATTGCTATCAGAGGTGGTCTGAGATAGGCATCCCTAGCCATTGCTGAATGCCCACATGTTAAGGGATTGCATGCATACAGCCACCAAGACCCCCACAGGCCAGCCAGTGGTCTCCATTAACAGGGATTTTAATTCCTTCAATACCTGACTAGTTTACAGCCACCCCTATATATGTGGTTATGTGCTCAGTACCCAAGAAACAGCCACAACGGCTACAAACTCAAGCCCTCCTCAGTGCAAGCTTTTCACTTCCCAACATACACCTTTAAGGCTGGATTCTTGTTGACAGGCGCTATCCATTAAAGAGATGGCTACTGACTCCACTGAGGTGAACCTAGGATGGAAACTGCATAGAATACATAAATAGAGATAGTAGGAACTGCAGATGCTGGAGAATCTGAGATAACAAGGTGTAGAGCTGGATGAACATAGCAGGCCAAGCAGCATCAGAGGAGCAGGAAAGCTGACGTTTCGGGCCTAGACCCTTCTTCAGAAAAATTCCTGGCTATGCAGCAATCCAGACTATAAAATGTAGGAGCAGTAGGTCATTTGGCCCATTGAGTCTGCTCCACCTTTCAATGAGATCATAGCTGATTTGATAATCCTCAATTCCACTTTGCTGCCTTTTCCCCAAAACCCTTGATTCTCTCACTGATTAAAAATCCATCTCAGCCTTGAATATACTTAATGACCCAGCCTTGACAGCCCTCTGTGGTCAACAATTCCACAGATTCACTACCCGCTGAGAGAAGAAATTCCTCCTCATCTCTGACTTAAATATGTAACTCTTTACTCTCAAATTATGCCCCATGGTCCTAGACTGTCCCACAAAGGGAAACAACCTCTCCATATTTACCCTGTCAGGTACCCTAGGAATGTAATATACTTCAATCACTCCTCATTCTTCTAAACTCAAATGAGCATAAGCCCAACCTACTCAAGGGGAAGCGATGGTCTAGTAGTATTATCGCTGGACTTTTAATCCAGAGACCCAGATAATGTTCTGGGTGACCAGCGTTCAAATCCTGCCACGGCAGATGGTGGAATTTGAATCCAATAAATATCTGAAATTAACAATCTAATGATGACCATGAATCCATTGTCAGTTGTCGGAAAAACCCATCTGGTTCACTAATGTCCTTTAGGGAAGGAAACTGCCATCCCTACCTAGTCTAGCCTACATGTGACTCGAGACCCACAGCAATGTGGTTGACTCTTAACTGCCCTCTGGGCAATTACGGATGGGCAATAAATGCTGCCTAGCCAGTGATGCCCTCATCCCGTGAATGAATAAAGAAAAAAAAACGTTCTTCTCAGAAAATTCCTCTATACCCAGAACCAACCTCATTAACTGACCCTAATGCCAATATATCTTTCCTTAGGTAAGGGGATTGAAACCATTTACAATAGTCCAGCTGTGGTCAGACTAGTGTCTTGTATAGATTTATCAAAACTTACCTACTTTTATACTCCATTCCCTTTGAAATAAAGGCTAACAATCCATTTACCTTCTCTATTACTGGTGAATTGATGTTAGATTTTTGTGTCCCAAATCCTTCTGTGCTGCAGCCTTTCTCCATTTAAATCATATTCAGCTCTTCTGTGCTTCCTTTCAAAAAGCATAGCCTCACATTTTCCCCACATTATATTCCACCCATCGAGTTTTTGCCCACTCACTTAACCTGATTATAGCCCTCTGCAGCCTCATTGTTTCATCCTCACAACTTACCTTCCAAAATATTTTTGTGTCGTCCACAAACTTGGTGATTGTACTTTGTCCAAGTCATTAATATATATCATAAATAATGTGACCCTAAAACTCACTCAAGTCACCATCAAACAGAATGTAAGTCTTCTGAAATTGTGATTCAGGTATCTGGATCATTATGGTGGAGCATTTCAATATATCTCAGTAACAGTCTTCTGAATCATGATGATCTGCAATACTTTACATCACCTTGCACTGCAAATGAAGGAGATTCTAGCCAAAGCAGGTATAGTGGTCTGCGTAGCATCCTAAGTCAAGGAGGATGATGAGGAAGCTGATAACTAACCGCCTGAGCAACATGAGGAGGTGCAGAGAGGCCACAATGGGATTGGTAATATTGAAGATGCCCATACTTATAAATTTCAGATGATCCTTCCTAGGTCATCCTTCCAGTCAAATAGAAGTCAACTTTTATATTCCATTATTGCCATTTACTTCAGATTTATGTGACATCACCACTGTGCGAAATAAGATCAATTTAAAATAGATCTAGCTATTCCAAACTGAACATCCAAGGAGCAATGTGTGTCATGAGCAACAACAGAGTTGTGTTCAACAACAACGTGTAACGTCATGGTCCAAGCATTACTCCATTTCACTATTATCATCAAGCTGAGGATCAACCCTGGTTCCATGAAGACTGCAGGAGCCGATGCCAGGAGTACCTTCAAATGAGATGTCAACCTGATGAAGCTACAAAATAAGCTGTTGGCATCACATAGAAGCAGCATAAAGTAACTGGAGTTAAATGATCCCTAAAGCAATGGATCAGGTCAAAGCTCCTATAACCCTGCCACATCCTCTGGTAAATCATAATAGATAATCAAATAACCAACAAGAGAGGGAGCTTTCATAAATATCTGGATCCTCAATGCTGAGATAGTCCAGCACATCAGTACAGAAGATAAGACCGAAAGATTTGCAACAGTTTTCAGCCAAAATGCCGAATGGCTAAACCATCTCAGCTCCTCTTGAAGTTCCAGTAACACAGATGGTCTTCAACTAGTTTGATTCATTCTGTATGATATCAAGAAACAGCTGAATGCCTTGAATACATCAGTGGTAGGGAAATTATTGGAGTAGGTTCTTAGGGACAGGGTTTAGTCGCATTTAGAGAAGAATGGACGTATTAGGTATAGTGAGTATGACTTTATGCAGGGGAGACCTTGTCTCAAATTTGTTTGAGTTTTTAAGGAAGTAATGAAGATGATTGATGAGGGTAGGACAGTGGATGCTGCCTACTTAGATTTTACTAAAGCATTTGACAAGGCCCTTCATGGTAGGCTGGTCCAGAAAAATTATGTCATAAGACATCCAAGATGAGTTGACAAGCTGGATACAAAATTGACTTGGCTGTAGAAGACACAGGGTGGTTGTGGAGAGGTGTTTTTCTGACTGGCAGTCTGTGACTGTTGGTGTTCTGCAAGGATCAATGTTGGGACTTCTGTTTGTAATGTATATAAATGACCTAGATTAAAATGTAGGTAGTATGATTGCAGACAACATGAAAATTGTGGAGTTGTGGATAGTGAGGAAGGTTGTCAAAGGATACAGCAGGATGTAGACCAGTTGTAAAGTTGATAGATGGGAGTTTAATCTGGACCAGTGTGTGATGATGCATTTTGGGAGGTTGAATGCAAGAGAAAAGTATGAAATAAATGGCAGGACCCTTAGGAGTACCCATATTCATAGGGATCTTTGGGTGCAAGTTCATAGCTCCCTGGAAGTGGCAACACAAGTGGATACGGTGGTAAAGAAGACATACAGCATGCTTGCCTTGATCAATCAGTGCACTGAGTATAAAAGTTGATGTCATGTTACAGCTGTATAAGACTTTAGTTAGGTTACATTTGGAGGATTGTGTGCAGTTCTGGTTACCACACTATAGGAACAGTCTGGAGGCTTTGGAGAAGATGCAAAAGAGATTTACCAGAATGTTGCCAGGATTGTGGTAGCTATAAAGAGAGGTAGGACAAACTTGGAAGGCTTTAGTTAGAGCCTTAGACACTGAGGAATGACCTGATAGGAGTATGTAAGATCATGAGAGGCATGTATAAGATGGATATTTAGAGTCTTTTTCCCAGAATGGAAATGTCAGATACTAGGGGGCATAGATTTAAGGTGAGAGGGGAGTCTTTTACACAGAGGGTGGTAGGTGCCTGGAATGCACTGCCACGGGAGGCAGTAGAAGCAGATATGATAGCAAGGTTTAAGAGGCACTTAGATCCATGAATAGGTGGGGAATAGAGGGGATATGGACAGGTAGATGGAATTAGTTTAGAACAACATCTTGGTTGACCCAGACATGACAGGCCAAAGAGCCCATTCCTGTGCTGTACTGTTTTATGTTCTATGCTCTCTTGACTTCACTGCTGCCATAAAGAGTGAATTAAAATTGCACTTCTCCTAGCATGGTCATAGGTGATTGTGGGAGTAGTGGATGGGATGCCAAAAGAAGGAAAATTTGGCAGACCATGCATGCAGGTATCACTGATGTCTCAAAGTGCTTTACAGTCAACAATGGCACTTCCTGGAGTGTTCTCCCTGTTGTTTTGCAGGCAAATTGACTTGACTGGCGTGAGCCAGTGCTTCCAGAAATGGAGTCTGAAAATTGGAACAAGGTAAGCTGCACATAGCTCCCGGATTTAAATTCGCATGCCAACCACCCCTCAATTGAAATGTTTCAATCTTAGGAAGGACGTCATACCATGTTCCATCAAACAGGTGCACTCGCTGTAATCTTTGTGTAAACAATGGTAATTACTGTCGCTTCTCATATTAATTGTATTTGCATTACAGATAGCAGGTTCGCAATCCATTGCAGTTGAAAGCTGGTGAAAGGCTGAGAATTGAGAAGGCACCTCTTCCTTTGACCGAGGCGGCAGTGACTAGTGAAACAACTTGCAGGAACACAGATTTTTCATTTCAACTACTTAAAGCTAAGCACGGTAAGCAGACCTGGGACTCAGTCGTGTTTCACCGTATTCATGGAGTCCGCTGTGCAAAATGAAAGATACTAGGCGGCAGGATGCTCTCAGTTTATTTATTTTCGAAAGCAGAAGCTTACTCGGACTGAAAATGTTTGCACAGAAAGCAGTATCTGACCCAGAGGCTGACATTGATGGCCTATAAATAATTCGTTTTCCTCGAGGTGGCACGACGGCTGCTTGCAGGAAGCTGGAGTGGAAGCTGTGCCGAGTACAGCTCTCAGTCCGCATTGAAATCTACAATGAGCTTCTCAACCTGTGCAGCTACAACAAACCCCAGCTCCTTCACAACCTGTTAAAGGGGTTTAGCTGTCCACCACGGCTGCATGTCTCGAAATCCGCATCAATTTGAAATTAATCCAAAACACAAATTCCATTTTTCTCCCCTTCGATTTCCCCCTTTAGAAAGGACCTATTTAGAAACGCAACTTAGTTTTTTTCAAAGTGTGATTTATCCTGTAGAGTTCCACCCCCTACACTTCGGAAGTACCTTCATTTTGGCGCAATAGATAAGATGTGGGAATCGGGGGAGGGAGGCATCAACCTACTGTATTAGAAGCAAAGAGAGAGTTGACCCCCTGCCCCCGTCTGAAATTTTATTTTTGGAAATGCATTCTGACGGCGCGTGATGCAAGAGCGGAGGAGGTAAGCGGAAGTTTGGATAGAGACAGAGCGTTGCTACTGTGGCGCTCATGGGATTTCACGCGGTTGGATGATCGTCCCTACAAATTGAAGAAAGGAAGCGAGTGGGGCGGAGCACAGGCTGTTACCAACTTCCAGCTGTACTGACTGGAGTAGAAGGTAGTCTGTGTTTGTGACCCGGACACGTGTGTAGATACTAGTGTTGTGTTATCAACTTATTGATTGCCTTCATAAACTATGTTATGACCTGCTGATTTCTAGTTTCCCGAAGAAACTGGTGGTAAGGATTGTCCATGGAATCTTTCTTTATTTCTTAAATATAATGCTTATTGTGACTGTTCTTTGTCGGTGAAATTTGTTGTGCAATGTGGAATGTTGGAATCTGTTGCCAAACTGTGGATCTTAAATATAAATGATTAAATGAGTGATGGTGTCACTTTTTGGATGGAGTAAGTGTCAAGTTATTTGTGAAGTTTGATTTTAGTTTTCAAAGCACAGCTTCTTTTCAGCTATATTGGCCACAAGGCCAGCGTGTGTTCTAGTGTAAATTTGTGAATAGGACTGTTTATTTTCTCCCATGGGGGCGCTAGCAGTTTTATTTTGCTCCGTTTAGAAATTGCTTACAGTATTTTTGATGGTTTGACCCTGTCCCACACAATCACAGCACAGTCAGTAAGTAAGAGCAGTCCAGGGTGACTTTGAGATAGTAAGAACTGTTGGAGTCAGGGATACCACAATGTGGAGCTGGAGGAACACAGCAGGCCAGGCAGCATCAGAGGAGCAGGAAAGTTGTTTCAGGTCGGGAGCTTTCTTTGATTTTAATTCTGAAGGGAAATGGTTTTCACCTGTGTTACCATTGTCATATGTTTGTTGTCACTTGAATAATTTATTAGAGTTCCTTGAAGCAGTAACCAGCAAGTTGATAAAGCGGAACTTGTAGTTGTGGTGGAATTGGATTCCCAAATGGCATTTGATAACACACAAGCATATGTGTAGGTGGTAACATGCATAGAATCATAGAATCCCTCCAGTGTGGAACAGGTCATTCTGCCCAACAAGTCCATACTGACTCTCCAAAGAGTGTCCCACCCAGATTCACCTCCATACCCTATCCCTGTAACCCTGTATTTCCCGTGGCTAATTCACCTAATCTGCATATCCCTGGATACTATGTGCAATTTAGCATGGCCAGACCACCCAGCCTGCACATCTTTGGACTGTGGGAGTAAACCGGAGCACCCGGAGGAAAGCCATGCAGACACAGGGAGAATGTGCAAACTCCACACAGTCACCCGAGGGTGAAATTGAACCCAGGTCTCTAGCACTGTGAGGCAGCAGTGCTAGCCACTCCATGATGAAGGATTCTTAATCTAGTGGATTGGATCTAATGTACTTTTGCTGATGGTAGTCCAGGGCTCTTGTGGCCCAATGGTAATGTCCCTACCTCTGATCCAGGAGCTCTGGGATCAAGTGCTGCCTGTTCTAGAGGTGTGTAAGCATATTGCTGAACAGGCTGGTTAGAAAATGTAAAGTGATTTTAACGTGTCTACAGCTGTACTTGTCTGAAAACAACTGATCTTGGAAGTTAAGCAAACTCAGACGTGGTTAGTACTTCGATGAGTGATCCATTGGGAATATCAGGCTTTGAGGGCTGTTGCGGCACAGTGATAATGTACCTCCCTCTTAGTTAGAAGGCCCAGGTTCAAGTCCCACCTTCCCCAGGGATGTGCAATAACATCTCGAAACAGATTAATTGGGAAATATCTAGAAAGATTGTCAGGAAAATAAGTTGTCAAGAGGAAGAATCAACAAAGGGGTATGGATAGTTCAAATGAGTGGGGGGTGTGTGGATTGCAATTGGAGTACAATGTGGAAAAATATGGACTTGTCCACTTTGACAGGAAGAATAGTAAAACTATTATTTTACTGAAGAGAGGCTGCAGAACTCCGACAGATATTTCTGGGTGTCCTTGTACATAAGTCGCCAAATGTTTTTATGCAGGTATAGAAGTAATGAGGGAGTAAAATGGAATGTTGGTGATCATGGCAAGGGGAATGGAATATAAAAATAAAGCAGTGTTAATACAATTATACAGGGCCTTAGTGAGACCACATCTGAAGTATCTTGTACAGTTTTGGTCTCCTTAGGACATAAATGCATTAAAAGCAGTTCAGAAAAAGTTTCCTTGATGGATTCCTGGGATGAAAGAATAAGATTTGTAAGGAAAGGGTAGGCATGGTGGGCCTGTAGGTATTGGAATTTGGAAAAAATGTTGATCTTACTGGAACATATAAAATCCTGAGGGGCTTGACAATGTGGATTCTGAGAGGATATTTCACCTTGTTGGGGAGTCTAGGATGAATTTTAAAAGTTGGGTGTCTCTCATTTGTGATCGAGATTGAGATTTTTACACTTGAAGTGTCATTTGTCATTAACATTCTCTTCTCCAGACAGCAATGTATGAAAGATAGAGTTAGACTCATTTTTGATCAACAGAAGAGTCAAAAGTGAAGGCGGGCTGACAGGAGAATGGAGTTGCAGCAAAAATCAGATCAACCAGGATCATGTTGAATGGCAGAAGTGGCTTGAGGTAACAAATGGCCTCCTCCTGCTCCTAATTCTGGTGTTCTTGTGTGAATAATTGAGCAGAGGAGGACTGAAAACTGTGGAGCTGAAGTGAGATGACTACTGCAGTGTGGTGGGATGTTGGCCTACTGCAAGTTTCAATGGCAAGAGGAGGAAGTTTGGAAAGGAATGAGTTGGTACAAACCTGTGAACTTAGAAATTAACAAAGTTTGTGTGTCTCTATAACACCCTTGAGTCTGAATCAATTGCCTTTGGAAAGCACTTTTGTTTTAGACAGCCCTACATTGCTCATAGTAAGTGCAGCAGTGGTCTAAATGCAGTACATTCCCAGGTGCCATTGGTACTATCTTTCTATGCAGACGGGCAGACTGTCTAAAGGTAAATAGGAAAATAACGACCGGTAATAGTGTTTTGGCTGTGCCATAATAACATGCTGTATATATAATGAGATTTTAGTGAGGTACTTTTAGCTCTTTTTCTCCGCTCACATCATCTTCATGCATTGTAGCCCCCTGACAGTACCAGCATAGAGTGGCATGGTGGCACAGTGGTTAGCATTGCTGCCTCACAGCACCAGTGATCCAGGTTCAATTCCAGCCCTGGGTGTCTTTCTGTGTGGAGTTTGCCCGTTCTCCCAGTGTCTGCATGGGTTTCCCTTGGGTGCTCTGGTTTCCTCCCACAGTCCAAAGATGTGCAGGTTAGGTGATTGGCCATGCTAAATTGCCCCATAGTGTCCAGGGCTGTGCAGGCTAGATGGATTAGCCTTGGTAAATATGGGTTATGTGGATAGGTTTGGGCCTGGATCTGGGTGGGATGCTCTTCGGAGAGTTGGTGCTGACTTGATGGGATGAATAGGCTTCTTTCTGCACCTTAGGGATTCTATGATAACTCAAAATCAGATAATTTTCTTATTTAGTTCTCATGGGACATTGTGTAATAACTGGTTGCTGGTGTGTTTGTGTAGACAGCAAGAGTAACGAAACTTGAAAAATGATGATTTGGGTGTGCATTGCTTTCAAGATAGTTTTAGAAGTATATTGACACTTCATAAATTTAAATCTATTTTTACACCATGTTTGCATGAAAACTGAATACACGCTTCCCCTCCTCACCATCCATGTTTATACTTGTATGTACTTCTCTCGGCCTCTGCTACTTATGATCTCCTACTTTAAAGAACAATCGGTTAGTTCCTAAATTTCTGTGGAAAAAGAAATCAAGAATTGCCATAGTATCTTTATTCTGTTAATCAATCTCTAATGGTTGCTCCCTTCATTTTGTGCTGTTAACATTTGTTAGGATGAAACTTAATTCTTTCACCAGTGCTATTGTGGATGGACATTGTTAATTTGAGGACATCAGGATTCTTGAGAACAGTGAAATAGTAAAGCTGTCAGCAGTGCTTTTAATTGAATCGTGATGTTTTACTGAATGTTAAGAAAATAGCTTGCGAGCCCTTTTATTTGACAAGTATTGCCTCACGAGTGGAATTTATTTATCAAAGCTACATTTTCAACTGCAAGCGTACCACTTTTGCAAGGCATGATAATGTGTAAACAGAGCATTCTCTCAGATTAACTATTAAAAGTTAAAACAAAGTAGGGAATCTTCCACTGAGCAGCAAAGTTCCTAACAATGACCCTACATTTAAAAGAGAAGGGTTCAGTAACTGATTAGGATGGTCCAACAAGCACACAATCAAACTGGCAACCGCATTGCATTTTTGTTGCTGCTTTGATGTTGTATCTTTCATTGCATTGCTACAGGTTGCACCACCATAGTCTGTAGCCCGAATAGCTAACAAATAAGCTTTTCTTTAAGAGTTCTTTCCTTTTTATACATTGTAATAAGCAAGACCATGAACACCTTGAACACCTTTTTTTTTCTTTATTCATTCAAGGGATGAGTCATCGCTAGCCAGGCAGCATTTATTGCCCATTCCCTAATTGCCCAGAGAGCAGTTAACAGTCATCCACATTGTTGAAGTCACATATAGACCAAACCAGGTAAGGATAGCAGTTTAAAAACTGAAAGAACTGCGGATGCTGTAAATCAGGAACAGAATCAGAAGTTGCTGGAAAAGCTGAGCAGGTCTGGCAGCTTCTGTGAAGAAAAATCAGAGTTAACATTTTGGGTCCAGTGACTCTTCCTCAGAACAAAATATTAACTCTGATTTTTTGCCAAGGATGGCAGTTTTCTTCCCTAAAGCACACAAGGGAACAGGATGGGTTTTCCCAGAAATTGGTTCATGGACATCATTAGACTGTTAATTCCAGATTTTTATTTAATTCAAATTCCAACATCTGCCATGGTGGGATTCAAACCCAGGTCCCCAGAGGGTTTCTGGGTTAACAGTCCAGCGATAATACCACTAGGCTATTGCCTTCCCTTAAGCCTATTTTGGTATGATGAATAA